ACTGCGAAAGCAGGTCGAGTCATTCGCCAAATGCTTTATCCTCACAGGTCAAGAAGCACCCGAGACAAGCAGAAAGCTCCACATTGACCTATACAAGAAGATGATGTCGGGAGATGGAATTATGGGAAGAAAGCCATACGGCTATAGTACGCGGATGTTCCAGACGATCGGCTGGACGCGGTTGGAAGTCAACAAGATGATGTCCTTTCTTGGCGTGACGAACGCCAACTTCAACTCGATGCTTCGCCGTGCATTCGTATGGAAAGCCAAGGCCCGCTTCGTCCATGAGAAGTTTCTCAGGAACTATAAGGACCATGAGAAAGACGGCGTTTTCGCGGCTGACCCTAGCCTGTGCAAGTTCCTTTCCTCCTCCCAGGCATCCATCGCGGGGCTGAAGTTACAGTGGGCGTTCGAAATCGGCCATACTAAGGAGGACTGCTACCAGCTCATCGAAGACTATTGCAACGGAGGTGATGGTCGCTTGACGGAGGACGTCATGAGAGAGGCCTGTGGTCTGCCTGTGCGAGTTCGTCAATTACAAGAGCAGGACGACTTGGGCAATCTACTCGCAGCTGGACAGGAAAGTGCCGATGAGCGAGAAGAACAGAACAGCGAATGGGTAAACCTCCGGAACCACCTCACGATGCACATGCTGGACAAGGATCTGGAGCTTCTGACCTGGTACGAGTTCAAGAAGGTCACCTGCAAGCCTGGTGAGCACCCGAATCTGTCGAAATCAGATATGTGGGAGCAGTTAAAGGAAAAGGGTGTAGTCCGCACTGCACTTGTACGGCAGAAGAGCAGCAAGGAGAAACCTGGTGCGTACATCCCCATGATGACCTTCTCAAAGCAACACTGCGACATCTGCCCACAACGTTCATTGGACACCATTCACATGCAATTCGACGAGGAGATCGACATTGGTCTGGCTAGAAAGTATGCATACAGTTGTCGAGGCCGCAGCATGAACATTGACACCATGAAGGCATCCTACAAGTCGATGCTTCCCATTGCCAAGAAAGGCCGTCGTGCCGCGGAACAGGAAGATGTCATGCAGACCTACCACAATCACCTCCGAAAGCTGGAGGATCATGAGAAAGCTCTCACCAAGCTCTTGACCACCCGGCAGGGAAGACGGTTGCGTGCAAAGAGAGCCCTTGTTCCAATACAAGGTCCTAAATAAGTACCAATACAGTTTCTTAATGGAGCCCTTAAAGGAGCCCTTATCGAGACCGTTCAAGCGACCCCATTGCAATTGTTCTACGTCCAAAAACCGACCTATTATCCCTGCGCCAGTCGGAAGTACCTCGGCCCCCAGAACGGCCAGCTGAGACAGGTTCGACCTCGGGGACTTCTGTGCGGTTAAATACATATAAAATTATATATATATATATATATATATATATATGTAGGTACACGCGCATACTCATTATCTATATATATATATACACATTATATACATATATATATATATATGTATATGTATATATGTATATATATACATATATATACATATACATATACATATATATATATATATAAAGATACTTATGTAGTGAGTATGCATGCCTGAACGGGCAAGTGTACATACATGTATATATGCGTATAGGCGTACATACATCTACAGATCTGTCTGCAGCATTTACATCCCGTGGATGTTTTATCCTCTGCTTAATCTGGGATGTGGGGGTTTCCCACCTTTTCAGTTTACACGTTTCGGCTGGCTTTCGGGTTTTGACCGGTTTTAGGGTTTACTGTAGGTTTGGGTAGACTGACTTTTCGATCTGAGGGTTTTAAAGAGCTTTGGGGTTGCCGCGCTCCTGCAACGTGTCGTTGTTTGATCTTTCCGGGTTTAGGGTTAAGGCAAGGGTCTCAGCATCAAGTCACGTTTGAGGGCCAGAGGCTCGGTGTATGTGTTTGGACTTCAGGGCTTCGGGATGTGGAGGTTTAGAGCTTTGGGGTTGTGCTGTCTGAGCTGCATTGCCGTAGAGACTCAGGCTGGGAGGGTCGAGCCCGCCAGCTGCGTAGCCACGGTGGAGTTCACAATTCGTTTTTGTTTTAGTTTTTTTGTTGGTGCGTTTGTACGGCTGACTCTGATGCCAGACTGGATTCATTCATCTTCGGCAAATAGCTCCAGGTTTAGGGCATGCCGAGATTGGTGCTTGCGCAGCGCCCCAAGGGTCTAGATTCCAGATATATGGTTAAACATGGGGTACAGGGAAGCCCCAAAACTGCAAGAATTGAACATAGCTACGCCGCAACGTCTCTTCACCATCTGCTTTGTGGTTCGGGGGGCTTAATCGGCTAGACAGAGGCTACACAACATCGATGCCTCAAGCTACAGCTTGAGAAGCCTGTGCACAGGAGCCGGCAGACCGCCAAGGTCTCCCACAGCCAGGGGCCAAGATCTGACAGCAAAGCCTTGAGGATCAGGAATACTTTGGGGGAGTTAGACACTTACCAATGCTATCTTGGGGGTTCCTTATTGTAAAGTATGGTAGAATGGGCCCCAAGAGGAACAGGGATGTGGTAGGGTTCTGGGGTTGAAAGTCTGCTGTTTCAGATGCAGGGGCTTCGCTTCCGTTAGTTGTGTTGGACTGCAGGTACGGATGGCATGCTTGGTCATTCGGTTTCTGGTACAATCCCAATCCCTAGTGCAGTGTTTGTCTTAGCTATTATATAACCATTATATAGCCCATTATAGGGCAGGGGTCCCCATTAAGGGTCCCTCCTTTTCCCCTTTGAATAAAGGCATGAAGAGCCGAAAAGATAAGCTCGCATGGCCCCGGCCCGACTCATGTCTTAGCGAGTCTTCGTATCCCCGCCACGGTTTAGGGTTTAGGGTTTAGGGGTTCAGGGGGAAGAAGGAAAATCGAAATGGCTCTGGCACGATGCTTGACATGTGACTATGATGGACATCTTTTACGAAAAGGATAGGCTAGAAAACAAACCCCGTCGAACTGCACGCACACACAGATTCCTTTAGAGTCATTGCTCTTCAACACCACCAAGCTCCAAACTCTAGACTCTAAACCGCAAGCCCTAAACCCTAAACTCTAAGCCCGAACTAACAGTGTATGTATGTGCATAATTAGGAACGACGGACTGAGGAAGTAGCAAGAGCTAGGACAAGAAAGCCTTCGCGTCGTCGTCGCGTCGTCGTGTTTGGTACTACTGTCATTATAGTCATTATTAGTGGTTTTCTCAATGGTTGTTATTGTTGTACTGATCATGAGCTGTGTTTCTATGACTGATTATAGTATTGTTGCGCGCTAGAGCCTTCATTACGAACAGGAGTGCTGCTAGTTTGGTGACTGCAGTCTGCAGCTGTGAGCCTTGGAAATTCTTGCATAGTGCGCCCTTTAGAATAATATGGTAATTCGGCGTTTTTCTCCTTTTTGAACTGGGGTGGAGGGAGGGCCTGTGGTGATTCTTCAGAAGATCCTGGGGACAGTAAGCCCTAATAAGCCTTTTAGTTCTTATGGGCAGTATATATATATATACACATAATACGCATTTATGTATATATATATATATATATATATACATACATAACTTCTATATATATATATATATATATGTGTGTATATATATATATATATATATACAATCCAAGATTCATTGCCAAGGCTGGTGGATCCAAGCGCCCCTCGAGGACTCGGCATGGTTTCAGCAGGTTCCTTAAGTCGCAGAGTGCCAGAAGTGATTCTGCAACTGTCGCGTTGAGGGTTGGATGAGGGGTCTAGGTCTTGAGGCTTAGGGTGAGGCGTTCGGAGGTACATGGAGCTACGCATCATGCAGCCGTGGAAATTGCGCCTGTGTGTTGAGCTGCCGTTTCGGCTGTGCATAGTGGTCAAGCATTGCTGCGGCGCCATGGACGTCGCGGTGGTCGTTCGACGTGCCTTTCCATTGTGCACCTTGTGCCGTGCATCAGCTGGCATTTCTATCTGATCGCTCGGCAGGAAACTGCATCCTCTAGCACAGAGAGGCCACACATTTACAGGGATGTGACGGGTGTGTACCGATCAGCAAGTCCGACAGCTCTCACGAATTGGAGTCACGTGGAAAGGCCGTCGCAGCGATGTGCGATCCACGAGGAAATGCTGCTGGAAGCACGGGCGTGCCGTCGGTTGGCCGTGGGGGGGGTGCCTTTCAGCTGCATGGCCCTGGTTCGGACTTCCTGAACAAGAGTGCTTTTCATGAAGCAGCGATGCTTCCCCATAGAGAGAAAAAGCAGCTGATGCTGCGGCGGCCTGCGGCCCATGAAAGCGAGGGCGGCTGGAGCTGATCCTCGAGGCCGGCGTTCTCGAGGATCATCTTCAGCCACCCTCCGCCGGCTGGAGGCCGAAACTAGGCCTGAGCTCGCCCGCTTTGCTTTGGCGTCTCCTATCCGGCGGCCGCTATGGGCGGTTTAAATTTTGGGAGCCATGCCGGAGAGAAAAAAAATCGGCAAACGGAGAAGAGTAGCTGCCCTGAACGTTCGCCAAGTGAGTGCTGGGCTGTGCTCTGACAGTTTGATCTGCCTCACGGTGCCACATGTTCCGGTGTGTATTTGCTGGTTTGGGCGGTCCCGTAGTAAGCAGCTCAGACAACGAGCGGCTTCCAACTGCACGATCATGCACAGAAAGCACTGTGCTGAGGGCCACACCTGCTTGGTAAACCCCTAAAACACCCTAAGCCCTACGGTAGCCCCTCAACCGCAAAGCGACGATCCCTCCATGAACCCTGAGGCCGCTTAGGCCTCACTACAACGAAAATCTCAGACCCCACGTCCCAACCCTGCAGCAAGGCTTGCAACCTTGAGCCGAAGCAACAACCTGACTCCGCAACCTCGAAGTATTCTATGGGTGGTTGTCAACATTAGGGCCCATTTTCGGTCCTTAATATAATACGGCACCTATTATTTAGGGTACCCCAAAAGGGACCTTAATCTTGACAACTACCCATATAACTGCCTAAACTCAAATCAAAGCCTTAAGCCTTCACACCTGGGAGTGTAGGAATCGGCGAAGCACTGCTGCGGCACCATCGGAGCATGATGCTGTCGGGGCCTGTGTTTGGGTGGATTGGTGGGCGGGAGGACAGACGGGCGTCTGTCACACGTGGGATTTCGGGTTTCTGCGATTGGGGTTTAGAGTTTAATTGAGTGGAGGAGGTCGGGCCCCAGGGTGTGGTGTTGTTGATAGACCTGTCGTGACGTCATTGCATGCAGTATTCCTTGCCATCTTCTTGTTAGTGGTGGTTGTTGTCCTGTGTTCCGAACGGTCCTATCTTATTCTGGGTTTTGGGGGCAACACTATTCCTAGTAGCGGCTCCTGGAATGGCACAACCAAAACTGCTACCAAAATCCGCTCTCTGATTATCAGGTTAAGGCCTTTATGTTCAGTCAGGCTTCGATAGTACAAAGCCCCAGAGAACCTCAGAGGTTTTTATTAGGAGCGGTTGCTCAGCGCTTCGGGCTTTTGGGGCCTCTCCAAAAGCTTCGAAACCCCGATCCGCTCGCTCTTCCTTGGGATTCTCTGGCATGAATATGGTATCCTACCCCGAAGACCTTCGTCCAACTCCTCATACCTCGGACCTGCATCCTTCGGATGCTGCGTCCGACTTCCCGACCCCAAGCCGTAAAGGTGAAACCCCAAACCATGACCCCTCAACAGTAGACACCATACTTGCTACTCTCTACTATCTCCGACCAGGGACTCGTGCCAGCGGCGCAGCAGTCCATGCTCATACGGAAGCCACGCGCCCAGTCAAGTCTGCCTAACATTGAGGTTGAAATTTCGTAGTAATCTGATTCCCGCTATATCAATTCACTCTTCTATGCCTCAGTATGAACGCCCGTGTATTTGGCTGTACGACTTCATGGTTACTTACTGCCTATGGGGGCGAGTCCGAGCTGCAGGGTTCTGGACTTAGGAAGGGAGGGTTGTGTCAGAGCCCGGCTCTATGTTCGAACTTGCAGTCGCCAGCACATGGGAGTGTCCGAAAATAGGGGTACCTTATTTTGGGGTCCTTAGAATAAGGATAATTAGGATCCTAATACTTAGGTACTACATTAGGGTGCCTTCTTTTCCGAAACTCCCATGTACTCTGGCCTTAGAGGGTGCTCCTATGCAGCTACTTTAATATCTAAAGATATAAATTTGCCAGGTAGGTACTTCGGCCCTGGAGGCCCAATGTTCAGAGTGCACCTCAAGCCAAGGATGTTTGCCATAGTATCCATTTTGATCCATAGTCTCCTTAGGATTTTTTGTTTTTTGTTCATATAGAACCCAAGAGGATATTGCAAATATTGTTTTTATTATGGTTCTAAGGGGGGTATAGTGATGTCTTGCACAAGCCACGGCTTGTTACGCATGTGGCTATGGACGACGGCTACATGCCGTGGCGGATGTGCTGTTGATACCGACGATGTCGTTGCCGTGTGTTATGGAGCTCGCCTTCTCCATGTTTTTCTGATGTCTGCCAATGGATTGTCCCTAAACCCTAAACCCTCCGAGGGACACCATCTGCGGAAATAGGCAATACCCATCGGACTTCTCCTCCTCAGACTTCTCAGCCCTCAGAGCATCACAGCCCGAATTTTCCTTTACGTGTACTGACGCTACTATGAGGCTCTTGTCTGTTGATTGCCAACAACGGCCTTCAAAATTCCTCCTATGGGAGTTTATGTAAATTTTAAGATTGATTAATCCGTGCTAACTGGGGTTCGGGGTGCGGCAGTGCCGTCAGTGAAAGCGTCAGTGAATACCGAAAACGCTGATGCATCAGATTCTTCGCGATGCGCATCAGCAATGCAGTCTTTTTACAACAACATGACAGAAAGGTTTTGACCAGTGCACACTAACTGTAACAATACTGTAAGTCTAGCAAAGATGGTGAGCGGCAATCGTAACAATCGTACTATATAACTTGTCCAGAAGGTCAGGTTTTTCAACAGACGACCTCCACAAGCGAACATATGCCTGACACCCAAGACCTTTGACCTTCGTGTTGTGGGTTTAGGCTTGGGATTTTTGCAGGAGCGCCGCTGTCAAGATTCAGAACTTCTGGCGTGAGCATCACAGGCTGGGCCTTCTACAGTTTTTAATATATAGAGGCCTGTTATACCGTAAGGGACCCCCCAAGAAATCCTGTTCTATTTTTGCTTGAGACCCCTATGTTCGGGGTGGTGGGGCTTGGTCTTGGGAGTCGAACTGCAAAAGCAAAGCCTGCCCTGAAAGAGCAGAATAGCTGCAGCTTTGGGGTTTGATTTCGGCCTTCCAGGTTGGGGTTTGGGGATTATGGACTAGGGATTAGGCTTTAGGGTTTAGGGGTTTGATGGGATTAGGCTTTAGGGTTCAGGGATTAACGATCCTTGCGGAGGATATTTCGGTACATTGGCCTGAACCGGGGCTTGGCTCTCTGCAGGGCAGTGAAGCAGGGCTGGCAAAGAGCAGCAAAGAGAGCCTCAGTTGCGTCGGCTGGGGAATCTTACGATCCCTTACAACGCTTTGTGCCGCAGATGGAGAAGGCACAACTGGTGTTAATGTTACTCCTATTTCTTGCATCGGTGCAGCAGTGCAAGCCGGACGCCCATGGGGAACCGCTTAGCGGCTGATTGATTTGACCTTGCGTTGAAGGAAGCAGCGCTGCCGCAAGAGCGACAGCACCCACGCCTGGATAGTGCATCTGTGGGCAGCTGCATTGAATGATTGGTTAAACTTAAAAGTGTTCAGTATTCTTTTGAGAGCCTATATACGTATCGTTCATCACACCCCTATGCAAGAAGGGTTTGATACTGTCAGCCAAGTACTGTCCCTGAGATGGACAAGTCGTCTTTCCTTTCATTCGGGTCTGACCTCGGTCCGCACATTCCTCAACCGCCTTAGTCTAAATGTCATAGGCCCTGGTGTTGAAACCCTAAACCCTCGGCCCTTAACCCCAAACTGGCGCCTACTGGCAAACCAAAAGCTAGTCTCGGGGGTCCGAGGATCCAGGCCATGGCCTAAATCCTAGACCCCCAGCATTGCTGAAGATACCTCTCCAGCTTTAGTCGTTTGAAAGGTTGCATTTTCGTAAAATCCACACCCCAAAAACAAAAGAAACAGCAAAGCCGCCATGCTGTTGTTTGAAGTTGGGCTCCCTGTTCTATTCACATTCTTCAGGCTGTATAGGTTTAAGGGACGGTGAAGCGTTATTCACCAGCTGTCTACAATGGTCTACATTACATGCCTATACTCGCGGTGTTCCCCTAAATCCCTGGACTTTCAAAACCGAAAACCGAAAACCCCAATCCTAATCCTGTATCCTCACTAGCTGTAAGTCTTGAACCCTGAACCCTCAGCCCCTGAACCCCGAGACCCCTGGAGCCCTAAACCCCTAAAGCCCTGAGCCCAAGACTAAATCCCAAACCTCCTAAACCCCTTATCGGGACCTAAATCCCCAGTGCAAGCCATACCGCGCAGGCATAGGAGGGCTTTCAAGACCCTCAAAACCCAAATCGCGCCCAGGCATAAGGTCCAGCTTCGAGATCAGTCGAAGCTCTCCGCTGCTGCGGCTACGAAGATGCTTGGACTTCATGGCCGTTTTCGGGGTTTTGGGCTTCAGGCTTTAGGGGTGTAGGGTTTAATTAGGGGTTCAGAGTCTTGGGTTTGGGATTAGGGCCTCAGGGTTTAGGAGAAGGCCGCAAGACTCCGCAATGTCTAAGGCCGTCTGGTTACCTAAACCCCCAAAGCAGGTAAAACAATGGCCCAATACCCATAAAAGGCGATTATTCCACCTGCTTGTGGGGTCCAGGTACTAGTTTCCTGAAGCGTTTCGAATTGCTTATGAGCCGACGTGGCGGAATGCCTCGAGCCTCGAGCAAACCCGCGCCTACTCGGTTCAATCTGCACGAGGCTGGGGCCACAACGTTTTTGTTTTGGAATGTTGTGGGTTGTCACAGCAGTCGCTTAAGCGGTGTCCCACACCATGCAGTTTTACTGTGGGGACACTTGAAACCGTGAGCTACAAACCCGATACCCCAAAGCCCTAAATCCTTAACCCTAAGCCCCTAAACCCTAAACCCCTAAACCCTAAACCCTTAAACCCTAAACCCCTAAACCCTAAACCCCTAAACCCCTAAACCCCTAAAGCCATAAGTCCTCAACACTCAGAAAATTCTGGACCTCGCCATGGCTTGCCGAGGATTCAGGCGAGATGGCGTGGCTTCAGCGCTGCTTGGCGCGCAATCGGCCCGCGGCTCCCGTGATCTTACCGTTGGCTAGTAGGAAATGGAGGAATGGGGGTACAACTACAACTGCTATTGCTACCATTCTTCCATTCCCTATTAACCAAAAGTACGATACAGGGTTATGAAGGCCCCTTATAGTACCCTTATAGATCCCTTATAGTATCCCTTATAGACCCCTTTATAAGGCCCCTTCCATTCCCTACTAACCGAAGGTAAGTGATTGGCTGTAGATTTCATACCGAAGGCCTTTCTTGAGGCCTTCGGGAGGCCGAAGGGCCGAAACACCGCAACCTGAAGGCCTAAACCCTAAAGACGCTAAACCCCAAACCTTACACCCTAAGCCCTAAACCCGCAAAACCCCGAAGCCCTAAACCCTATACGCCTAAACGCGCCTAAACCCTAAAACCCCCAAAACCCTCAACCCGAAGCCCTGAGCGCCCTCTATCTCTCAGGTTCGCCGGGGGAAGATCGTCAAGGCCGGGTGGGGTTCTTTTCGTGTGGTTTTAAACTTATTTTTGGCCTTCGCCTGAACTGTCCGGCGGCCAGCTGAGCCAAGTGCCACGCACCCGTCCGTCAGTCTGTCACGCAGCTGGACGGTCAGTCGGTCCACGCACCCTCAAAGTTCCTTATCATAACTATAGTTGTATACTATACCCCGAAGCCCTATTCCAATTGTCAAGGCACCCAATATACAACCCTAGTGAGTCAGGTCGGTTGGTCAGTCGGTCCACACGCCCGGGCAGTCAGCCAGCCAATGGGTTGGTTCCACGGACCTGTTAATCAGTCGGTCGGTCTTTCGGTCGACATTCCTTCGTGTGCCCCCTGATGGGCCACTAGATGGCGTGTCCGCCGCCGGACTACACAGCTGCATTCCGCGACAGGTCGGGCTTACATAAGGCGTGTGAGGCTCCTGGCGGGGTTTTAAGTTTATAGTAACGACGACACAACATGCATACAGCATACATACAGACATCAACGAGGAGGCATGTTCAAGATAGATGACGAACTTGGCGTGCCTGAGACAAGTGATCAACCGGGATCGTTTGATGAAGCGGCGTGTTCAAGATATGTGATGAACCTGAGTCGCCAAACGAGGGGGCTTGTTTACGGTACATGATGAACCTGAATAGTGAAACGAAGGGGCACGTTTAAGAAATGCGTTCAACCGGAACCACCAAACGAGGCGCCGTGTATAAGATGTAAAATGAGGGTGTGTGTGATATATATATATATATATATATGAAGGAACGCAAAGGCCAAAAGAAGGGCGCGTTGAAGACATATTATGAACCGGCATCGCCAGTGAGGAGGCGGTTTTAAGATAGCAAGTGAGTGGGCCGTTCTGAAGTTGTAAGTTCAATCAGAATCGCGACATGAGTGTGCGTGTGTGTGTGTGTGTGTAAGATATGTACATACATATATATATATATATATGAGGACCCGGAATCGCCAAATGAGGGGTGTGTAAGATTTATGATGAACTAGGATCGCCGCGTTTAGGATACGTGATGAACCAGAATCGCCAAATGAGGAGGCATGTTTAAGATACATGATGAACTAGAATCGCCAAATGAGGGTGCTTTTTCAAAATAGAATGACGAAGCGGAAGTGTATGTTTTGGCATATGCATATATGTGTATGTCTATGTATAGCGTTCTAATCTGTTATCACCAATAGAAACTTTCGACGCTTGCCAGGAACCTCACACGCCCAGTGCTTAAACCGTCGCGGGATGCAGCCAGGTAATCTTGCGGAGAAGACTGACGGCTACACAGAATGACTCGCTGAAAGATGTCCGAGGACCAAACGGCCCAAAACCACAAATTTGAACCAAAACAGACTTTGCATGACCTTGCACGCAGCTGCGGTTCTCGTCATCCGTGTGACTTTTGCAACGTCTGTATATGGGCCGAGCCGAAAACAAAAACATCACACACAACGCATAAAACACCACACAGAAAAAGATGTGGCTCCGTCCAAGGCCCAACCCTGTACAGGCTTGAAGGGATCTTGATGGACATTCGGAGTTGTAGGGCTGCTTTAGTACGCGGGATCCAGAGGTTTTGGGGTTCAGGTCGGGGTTTAGGGATCCTAGGGTCTTGAGGGTTTAGGGGCTTAGGGCTCTTGAGGGGTATTGGAGTTAGGGTTTAAGGATTTCGGGTTTGGCTGTCCAGGGTGCCCCAAGACCTGAAATATCTGGTGTGACATGTTTGCAAATCTCGCCAATCGCTTTCTATTTGCAAGTCAATTCTGCATCAAACCCCTGATGAACGCTTTATAGCCGCAAAAACCCAATCAAAAAGCTCTAGTAACAGTGTATTATGCACTAAACCATAGCCCTAAACCCTGAAACCTAATCAGTTCCACAGATACACCAGGCGGCTCGGATCATCCAGCGCCACACCCGCGGCTTCCTGGTGCGAGTGGCCATCCGAAGGCCCCGATTAGTTGTGGTAGTTTTATATAGTAGTAGTAGCAGTAGTAGTAGTAGAAGTAGAAGTGGTAGTAGTAGTAGTAGCAGCAGGAGTAGTAGTAGTAGTAGTAGTAGTAGTAGTAGTAGTAGTAGTAGTAGTAGGAGCAGTAGTATTATAACCGTTGGTTGTAGTATATACAAATGGTTATAGTCTCTACTGTTTCTGGTTATATATGTATGTATATTATCAGAGTTTCAGTATAAGTTGTAGTTGTAGTATACATTATCGTCATTATCTTCGCTATTACGGTTATGGCACATATCATAGGTATAGTATATGCTATACACCAAACACCTTATTGAAAGCTTTATATTGTAGGTGGTCAGCCTCATGATTCCACTCTGGAGGATCATGGGGCTTGGTAACCCGGGACTGTAAATAAGGTAAGTATGTTTAGATACTTACGGCTAGTGACTGATTAGATGAAAATCGGAATAGCTGTTGATAATATGACTTTAGAATCAGTAAAGTGTACTTCCAGTACATTATCATTATACCTCTCAAACCCTATTCCGATTGTTACGGTCACTACATTTTGGTCCGGGGTTTGCTTCCTTGTGATTACGCCACAAAGCACGGTGGAACTTAGTAGTTCCTCAAGGTGTTTCAAAGGGGGTGGATAAGGATTCTAAAAAGGTTGAGGGTTGTTGTTGGATCATGGGACTGAGAATTTAACCGGGTGATAACCAAGATAACTACATTGTCATCCTTGCAATATGGGAACCCTTTCATCAGAAAAGTCATCATCCAACACGGGCCAGCTAACCTTTGCTGTGATCTGAATCGTCGACCGAGGCTTGTCCTTTCCTCGAGCCTTTTCCAGCGCTTGCGCCGCTGCTTTCGTCTGCTCAGCCACGGAAGCCAGCAGCCCTTCCGCACCCTTCGAGCTAGGTCCGGGCGAAAGCTGAGCAACGGGACGCAGCTCTCCGGCTCGTGTGTCGACCTGTGGGGCTTCCGGGCTCCGCTGGCAAAGCGCCTTCGCAGCCGGCTCCACTCCCTGACTCTCCGGCTTAGTAGCTTCCCATCACTCAGCTTACTGCCAGGCTCCTCAACCATAGCGAGGGTCACCGGGAGCCTGCTTTCCCGATCTTCCTCGTCCTCCGTGCCATCGATCAGCTCCCGCGCGAATCGCTGCTTCAACTGTTTCAGCTCATCAGCCGGCGTCGGCTTCTTAATCCTGTCGAGGAGTTCCGCTCGCACGTGAAACACCGCGATTCAAAAAATCTACCGTAGCCACGCTCGCTTGGTAGCCGTCTAGCGGCTAGCGTCTCCAGATCCGGATTCTACGGCGTTGTGCTTACGGAGTTGATCAACATCCGTACCGCCACCAGAGCGAGGGACGCAGCGCCGGAAGCGGTCTCGTCTTTATAACATGCAAGCGCTCGGCAAAACTACGGCCGGTCGGTCCAAAAGGACTCGCACCAGGCCTTTTCGTAGTCTGGCTGTCCTGCTGCGTCGGCTTTTCTCTCATCCAGGGCCTTCTCGCCAGCCCGGGTCGTGGTACGTTCCCATCTGGGCTCTCCAAAGTAGTGGCTCTTGCTTGCCTTGAACGCCCTCCAGGTCTTCCTGAAGCCTAGCTCTCCAGCTCTAATTTGCCTCCCGGACTGTACCGGCTGCGAAGATCGCCGACTCTTCACGATGCGCGACTCAGCCACGCGATGATAGGATATATAGGCTGGCCATTTCCCAGGACAGCACCCAACTGCGTTGTTCTACCCTGTGAGTACTCAGAGTGAGGTCTTAGACACAGCCTTGCAACACCATCATTGCCCTCTCTCTGCTCACGAGGTCACGCGCTTAGAGGTGTTTCAGGGCCAGCTACATCTGAGTCGAAACAACAAGCCACTACTCATTACCTCTTCACTTGACCACCCGCTCACACAGAGAAGCCACGACTGCTCGCAAGCAAGTGCGGGACTAGGCGCTTAAAGCCTTCTCAACCTCCACACCTATCCGAGATCCGGAGCCCCAAGCCCCGGCACCCCCAAAGGACCGAGGGCCCCATGCAGTGTTTAGGGTTTGGGGGTCGGTGTTTCAGCCGTGTTCTTGGCCCAGGCTGTGAGGTGTCTGGGCGTTTGGGGTTTAGGCCTTTGAGCTTCCGAGCTTCGGGCTTGGCTACGGCGTTTGGGGTATTTTCAGGCTTAGAGGTCTGGGGCTTTTTTTAGCGTTTTGGGCTTTGGGCTTAGGGTTTAGTGGGTTTACTGGGTTTAGTGGGTTTAGGGTGTAGGATTCTACCCAAGGGTAAAAGCAGGGACCCTTAATAAGGACCCCTAGGTTTTTACCCTTAATATAATAAGGACCCGAAGGTATATACCCTTAATGTAGCCATTCTATACCCATTATATAGCCCACTAGGGTAGGGGTCCCCATCAATGGTCCCTCCTTTTCCCTTTGAAACATGCAAACCTCAACCCCCAAAATTGGACCCCCAACCGCCAGGAAAGCCCTGAGCTCATGTAATTTCAGGGTGGGGGTTTCGGACGGCTGGTCGCTTTTTCGGCATCCTATGGGATGTGGATCTTACTTTGTAGGGCGGGGTCCATATCATCAGGGTTCCTTATGGTCATTATTATCGTAATCTCGCATACCCCCCAAAGCCCGATTCTAAGCATTAAGTCGTTGGGTTTCTCGAGGCATAAAGCCGCTGTGGTGATCCAGGCTTCCTGTGCCTCTGCATGCGGGTGAAGTTAGGATGTAGGACCTTTTCGGCGTTTAGGGTTCAGGAGGTCGGGATTCGGGGTTCAGGGTTAAGCCCCTTGTTTCGATCTCGGGGCCTTGACATCAGGATCGCGATCACAATCCTTCTAGAGGTTGGGGGTGAGGCTTGGTGGTCCATAGCCTATCGATTCAATTTGTTGCCTTTGGGTTAACTGCGGGTCTTGTGAACTCCTTTGTCCTTTGAGGTAAAGGGTCCCCAAGCCCAGGCTTTAAGCCCCAACCCTTGGCCTTAACCAGAAGGCTCAAGCTGTTCTCATGATTTCCCCTAAAATCAAACGCCCCCCAAAAAATACCCCTTCCGACGAACATCTCCAAGGAATCTAGTTTTCCGAATTGGGATTCGGCAAATGTCGTTGTCCCATGACTTAATAAATTATTAATTCCCGCTGGATGATGTTGGTTTTTAGTTTCACATTTGGAAAATCCAAAGAAGCTTGCTCTTGTGATTCGAAATCGTGTGATGCGGTGAAGCATGTACCCCTTCAGTGGCACAATGCAGCGAGATTTGATATAAGATTATGGCCTCTGGTCTATGATTGATTGTGTATATGAGATACGGCTCATGGCATATGATACATGCTACGTCATACATGGTACCAGAGATATGAGATGTGAGATATGCGGTATGATATATGATCTACCCCCGGAATTCTCGTTGTCCGGCAAAACGACCCAACCAGTTCACCGTTCTACCGTCCAGCGACCCCATATGGTTAGGCCCCACAGACCACTTCACGAACTCACGATTTCACCGGCCACTTCCCCCACATGATTAGGCCCCTGCATGATTTCACCATGCCGCCATTCATTTCCAATAGGAGGCGTATTTATTTTGGGATTTTTTTTTTTTTTGTGTGCGCGCTTGGCTTCTTGGCTTCTGGCTTCTTGGATTCCCTGGCTTCTTGGCTTTTGGCTTCTCAGCTTCCCTGCCTTCTTGGCTTCTGGCTTCTTGGCTTCTTGGCTTTTTCACCTCGCAACTTCTTATACTGTCTAGCTTCGAGCATACTGCCTCCTTATGTCGTACGGGCTTTTGTTCTCTTCTTCTTGGATTCCTTGGCGTCTTGGCTTTCGGCTTCTCGGTTTCCTTGGCTTCTTGGCTTCTGGCTTCTTGGCTAATATAATACAATATAATATAATATAACATAATATAATATGATATGATATAATATGATATGATTATATAATATTATATTATACTATATTATATTACATTATATAATATCATATTATATTATATTATATCATATTGCATTATATTATATCATATCATGTTATATTATTTTATATTATATTATATCATATTATATTATGTTATATTATATTATATTATATTATATTATATTTTGTTATATTATATTATATTATATTATATTATATTATATTACATTATATTTTATTATATCATATCATATCATATCATATCATATCATATCATATCATATCATATCATATTATATCATATCATATTATATTATGTTATATTATATTCTATTATATTCTATTATATTATATTATATTATATTATATTATTTTATATTATACTATATTATATTATAGTATACTATATTATATTATATTATATTTTATTATATTCTATTATATTATATTATGTTATATTATATTATGTTATGATATAATATATTATATTATATTATGTTATATTATATTATATATTATATTCTATTCTATTTTATATTATATTATATTAAACTATATTATATTATATTATACTACCTTATATTATATTATATTATATCATATTTTTTTATATTATATTATATTATATTATGTTATGTTATATTATGTTATGTTATGTTATATTATATTATATCATATCATGTTCTATTATATTATATTATAATATAATATAATATATTATATTATATTATATTATATTATAATATATGGTCCTCTAGTCCTTGGTCCTGCGGTCCCTTGGTCGTCTGCTCTTCTGGTCCTGTGGTCCCCTGGTCCTCTGGTCTGCTGGTCCTCTGGTCCCGTGGTCTCCTGGTCCCGTGGTCTCCGGTCCGCCGGTCCCTCGGTCCCGTAACAGCAACAAGAACGCAGACAAGGAATACATTCGCCAAAGCACAAGAAGAAGAAAGCCAGACAACAACGCGTCAGGGTGGATTAATGCGAAGTAAACACAATCAATCGTGAAGGGTTTAAAAGGTTTGCAGGCTGCGCCCCCCCAGCCCCCCCACTTTTTTTAGACTAAACTCCCCGCTCACTGGCGCGAAGAGAT